AAACAAAACATTTTTGTGAAAAATGTTTCAAATAAAAATTGTAGGCTTTAAAAAGATCTATTCACTGATCACATCCGTTTGACCTTGAATGGCGTCAAGCTCAGGTTAAGGTCAAATCAATTTTTTTTAAGTTCATCCTATTTTTGATAGCAGAATCTAATAGCTGGTTTAAGAGCTTTTCAAAACACTAACCAAATCATTTTTCATTAAGTACTTTTCGAGTTATAAGGCTTTGAAGATTACAGTACCACCGGTATTAGCATTACACAAGGTCTGACCGAGAAAATAAAGCCATTGGAGGTTGTACTTTTTATTTTCATTTTTATATAAAAATTAATTTTTAGTACAAAAATGAAAATAACGAGAAATAATTTTCAGTGGCCTTGATCTTGACAAATGTTATCCAGGATATGATCTTGAACAACATTCAAGAGGTTTTAGCCGTTAGTGGACACCTTATGTAATACTAATGTCTGTGGTACTGACTAACCTTCAAGTCTTATAACAAAGTATTTAATGAAAAAATATTTTATTATAGTATTTTAAAAAGCTCTCGAGGTAAGCTGCAAGAATATGTAATGAAAAATAAAAGGTTTCATTAAAAAAATTTAAAGTGACCTTGCTCTGACCTTGACAACGTTACCTAAGGTCAATGATGTCCCCCTCGAAATCACAAAATTTTTGTCTGAAACATTTTTCTCTAAAATGCACTATTCACAAGAGAAAACTGAGATCATTATTTAAAATGAGACACCGTGTATGCAGAGTGTCCACTATTTTTAGCAAAGCGCTCTTATATAAATAGGAATAAACTATGTTAAAGTCCTCTATCATTTTGTAATTTTCACAATGGTGAACTAGAGTTGAGAACAGTTTTTGAGTTAATCTTAAAGGATCAAGAAAGCTGGAACGTTTTTGCCACATTCGCTAAGAATGTGGCAGAAGGAAGAAGCGGAGCACAGGCGACAAGCTATTGGCTATGACCACGAGCCTACGCCGTCACTTGGATTGGCAGACGTCGAAATTGATAGTGGTTAACATCCACAATTTCAGACACTCGCATCAGATCACTGTAACTGATATTGGAGCGAAAGACAGGCCGCAATAAATAAAAGTACCACATCGAACACGGTGTGAATGTGGGGGACTCTCCAAAAGAATATCTTACGATGATGCCAAGACGTCCCCTTTCACAAGATCGAGCAGGGCACAGAAGAGGTTAGTATAGAGACATAGGCGACCCGTGATATGTATAATCCATTTATAGGTATGCGCGGATCGAGTCCTCTGGTTAGGGAGTATATGAAGATTCCTTTCTCTTCAACAAAAAAAGGATTTTAAATGATATATTTACTGATCTAATCAGTTTGGCCTCGAATAACGTCGCCAAGGTCGAATCAAAGTCGCGTTAATTTTTTTTAATATTGTAGAACATCCTATTTTTTTATTCCAGAATGTAATAACTGGTGTCAATAACTTTTAAAATTACTGTAATAAATTTATTTTTCATTAAATACTTTTCGAGTATAAGACTTGAAAGTTACAGTGCCTGCATTAACATTACGCAAGATGTCCGATCGACTAAAACATCTTATTATTCAGGATCATGTCACGAATAACATTTGTCAAGATTAAAACCATTGAGAGATTATAATATTATTTTTATGTTTGCTTAAAAATGAATTTTGAGTGCAAAAATAACAATAAGAATAATTTCCAATAACCTTAAAAATGTTATTCAGGACGTAACCCCGAACAACATTCAAGAGGTTTTAGTCGTCGGTCGTTACGTAATAATGGTGTTGAGTAGTACTAATAATGGCGATACTGTAACTTTCAAGCCTTATAACTCGAAAAGTACTTAATAAAAATTAATTTTATTATAGCGTTTTGAAAAGCTTTTGACATCGGCATTACATTTTGGAATAAAAAATAGAATGTTCCATTTTTTTAAAATCAACGTGATCTTGATCTAATCTTGGCAACGCCATCCGAGGTCAAACTGATTAGATTAGTAACCATATATAAACCTTACACTTTTTATATGAAACATTTTTCTCAAAAATGCTTTGTTTTCGAAATATTCAACTGTTTCCTAATTTTTTTAGGACCCTACATACACGCAGATCGTAGAATTTATATATTTGTTTTATAATCCGTTGCCGCCCCGAACTTTGTTATATCTGTGCACGTCACTTACAGAATGGAGAGATGGAAGGCGAAAACTCCCGGTCGCCAGATGAGCAATACAAATGCCAGTCGAAGAGACAAATAATCCGATACGGAGCCGGTAAAGGAGCTGCATGTCCAGGACATTTCGTGCTCGAATAATTTAGGGGCTACCAGCGATGCAGAAGTCCATGGAAATTTACATTGCTCGCCCTAAGATGCAAGGATTCGCAGCCCGCAAGGACCTATACGATACGCGGGGCTGTGTGATTGACAGGAGTCAATCGGCGCATGGTATGGCTCCAATTAAGGGGGGACCAAGCGGCCTGTGTGAATCCGCGGTAAGGTCCCGGCCGGCACTCGTTCTGTGACTGACTCGGCATCGATTGTGAGAGGACGCAAACTTCCTCGCTGTCGAGAAAATTCAAGAAGCAGTGAGCTCCCATGTTCACAATCCAGGATTGTCGCAACAAGGATCAGAGGAAGATATTAGATGAGACGAATGCCGTTATCGTTGTAAAGCTGCCGATCATCGAGTTTGAGTCTCGGATAAATTGCGCGTGAAAACTCGCGTGACTGCAAGCGGCCGGTATAATAGCCGTCGTCAAGATCCAGAGAATTGGAAGCCACATGCCATCCGTCCGAGCGTTGTTGTTAAGAGAATTATTAGCTGCTGATTCGCGTTCGTCTCTTTTGCCAGTCGAATCATTTTTTTGTACCTTTTGTGCCGTGCCGAACCGGCTGCTGTAACTGTATCGTGTGCTCGGATTATCATTCGAATTCGAGGTTACTCTCGTGGGTAACATTCTTTGCTCGAAACACGAATTATTGTACGCTGTCGACGGATGTCAGGAATATTTGGTCGTCGTACATTCGCCACCTCCGAAGGTGATCGTTCGAAAAATTAAGATCTTAAGATATAAAGTACGACTGTTGAATCGGCGTTAGAAATAAGTTATAATTGTCCACGGAAGTAGATCTTGTCAAATCCGGCTTAGTAAGGCTCCAAATATTGATTGTAATTCGGTTCATTAAATATTATTGTTCTTTCTATTTCTTTCTATTATTAATTTGTGTGTGATTCTTGTAACCTATCTCTCTCGTCTTCCGACAACTTCTCCACTTTTCTCCACTTTTTCGACCCACTTCTGTTGCCGTCACGAATTAATTGGGAGCAAATAATTTAACGTAGACGAAAATTATCGAAAGAGTGATATGCTCTCTCGTGCCTGGCGCCTAACTTGTTTAGTGAAAAACTCTAATTGTGGGAATTTATCTGTCTGTCGAAATCTTACGCTTATCTCGTATGAAAATTCCTTTAAGTAGTAAAAAAATCACAGAGCACGCGACGAAGTTGTGCCGTCGCTCGCGAACACGGTTACAATATATATATATAGTGTTCTATTTTAAATAACGCATTAAGATTTCTCGGAAATTATGATAGATACGGAAAAATTAACCTTTCAAACAAAAATTATATGGTTCGAAGAGAGACATAAAAAGGTATTTGATTTAACCTTGGGTGACATCGCCAAGGTCACATCAATTTTTTTGTTAATGCCTATTTTGATGGCAGAATCTAATAGCTGATGTCGAGAGCTTTCTAAAATGCTATAAGAAAATATTTTTTCATTAAATACTTTTTGAGTTATGATGCTTCAAAGTTACAGTACCGCTAGCATTAGCATTATAAGATGTCCGACCGACAGCAAAAACCTTTTGAACCTTTGCTGTTCAAGATCATGTCTTAGATAACATTTGTCAACATCAAAGCCACTGGAGATTATTTCTCTTATTTTCATTTTTGCATTAAAAATTCATTTTTATGTAAAAATGAAAATAAAAAGTACAACCTCCAACAACCTTGGTCTTGACAAATGTTATCCAGGACATAATCCTGAACAGCATTCAAGAGGTTTTAACTGTCGATTAGACATCTTGCATAATGTAATGCCGGCGGTACTGTAACTTTCAAGCCTTGCAACTCGAAAAGTATGTAAGGAAAAATAAATTCATTACAGTGTTTTGAGAAGCTCTTAACATCAGCTATTAGATTCTGCAATCAAAAATAGGGTATCCTCCATCTCCATTCAATCTCCATTTAAAAAAAAAACGATGTGACCTGACCATGGCGACGCCACCCAAGGTCAAATCAATGGTACCTTCTTATGCCCCCTTCCGAATCATAATATAACTTTTAAAATGTAAAAACAAAGAAGGGCTAATGAGAGGTAATTCACGGTACTTAGTACGAGAATAAAAATCGTTTATTACCAATTCAAAAGAATATAATTATGCATAGACGTTTCGGCTTGTCTTCGAACCATCATCAGTATGTCTAAACATTTATTGTAATTGTCTCAATCCTTCATGGCGAGACGGAAGACTTGCCAACCTCTGTTAATAGAATAAGAAGATTGAGTCACTCTTCCGTCTCGCCGAAACGTCTATGCGTAATTAATTATATTCTTTTGAATTGATAATAAACGATTTTTATTCTCGCACTAAGTACCACGAATAAACTTTCATTAGCCCTTCTTTGTTTTTACATTTGACATTCTCGAGAGTTATTACTTGTCTTATTTGCATACAACTTTTGTTTGAAACATTTTTTCGTATCTTTATAACCATAGTTTTCGAGAAATCTTAATACATTATTTAAAATGGGACACCCCGTATATATATATATATACACACACGCAGTGTATTAGAATTATTTTTTATATAAGATATGCGTAAACAAATAAAAAGTTGCGCCACTATCAATAATTACATCGCAGATTGTACTGCTTGATTTATATTACATATTATCAGCTATCACGACAAAGCTCGATATAACTTTGATTATCACTGTTTTTGCAAGCGTAGCTGAAAAAAACCTAGGGATATAACCTGATGACCGACATTTCCGTGGAAAATTACTGAATACGATTGAGTACAAGAGATATGTATCAATAAATGAATGAAAAGCTTCTAAAACGCTCTTATCAACAGAGACATCGGTCATCGTGTTTCGTCATGTGTTCGAAATCTTTGATTCGCGGCAAAGATCTTTCTCTCGATCTCTTCAATGTCCGGCCCATCGCGCACAAATACAGAGAAGGCATTTTGCACGGTCATGGTATTATTGGCCGGAGCTAACGGATCTAGTATCGCTGGCGGTAGACGCGGTATCTGACAACGGAAGCGGTAACGATGGCGGCAAGGATGATGCCGTGGATTTCAGTAGTTCGTACTGTCCCCGCGGCATCCGAATAGTGGGTGGTGATAGCATCACGTTCATATTCTCAGGTAACGGCGGAAATACATTGTTCTGAAACTGACCGGACACGTTGCCCACCGGCTCGTAGTTCGCTACCACGATCACTTTGCCGCTTCTGCTGCATGCCTTACCGACCCCGAAGTAACAGCTTCTTGCCCATATTAGCTGAGTGAAATGACCTAGGAAGATGCTCCTTTGAATCATTTTCCATAAGTTAAATTAATTAGATATGTATTAAAATTCAACATGTATCTATGAATATAATACTATAAAGGGTGGAGCAATAACTTTGTCCACCTTGAACATTTCCGCTATTTTTAGAGATATGAAAATATTGTAATTACAAAAAAGTTGTACGGTATCAAGAGGACTCTAATATATGCTGGTAATAATTTTTTTAAGTGGAGGCACTTCGGAGATTTCAAGATCATCTTCATTTTGTTTAATATTATGCTATACTTTTTTAACCTTAGTGCCTAACCTAGTTAATAGCGGATATTTAGATGATTTCAACGATCTATAATAAAAAGTCATTTGTCATTAAATAAAGAAATAAAATAATGATTCTTATGTCATAAGAAGTGCTCGAATGATATCCATTTACATCAATGCAACACTGCAATCGTTGAATTCCTGCATATACACTTCTTAATATTTCCGGATTAATTATCGCACATGCTACAATGGCTACGTTCAGCGGATTCAACAATTGAGTAACGCTCGCTGTTATTGGTGTATTCTTTTAGATCATCCAATCAGCATTTTAGATCTGGAAGAATATATCAATAGCAGCGAGCGCTCGCTCAAACTGTTAAGTCCGCTGAACGCAGCCTGTAATTCGTTTCTTCATATTTTTCGGTGTGGTCGGCACTTCTTAGTATACAATATTCTTGTATTCGTTATATTACAATAAAAAAATGTAAATATTTATATTTCTTACTAATTCTTACTATGAATTCTATAAGTCTAGAGGGATTTGTGAAATTTTTAAAATAAATTATTCTAAGTTTAGTATCAATAGATCTTTCAGAAGGTGATTACTTCATGTAATTCAGCTTTCTTGTGATTTTGGTGACAAGTTAATGTGAAAATGAAATTTTCATTTGCTGAATAAGTAGATATACTTCTCATTTATGGAACTCAACAAAATTCAATAAAGGCGCAAGCATTGTCTATTGAATAGTATCCAGATCGAATGCATCCCTCACATCATGTTTCATTGAATTTGTAAAAAATTAAGAGAAACCGAAAGCTTGATTATGCAAAAATTTGAAAGTCGAAAAAGTCATGTCATCAAGACAACGAAATCAATGTGCTTGCAATAGTGAATGCTAATTCTCAGATTAATTCAAGACAGAACGTGACATTAATAAAAGAAACATATTACGAATTCTTGTTAAACATAAATTCTATCCGTATCATATTAATCTTTACCAAGATTTACACGATACGAATTTGAAAATCGTGTTACTCTCTAGTTAGTGGATGCAGCATCAAATGCACATTAACAATGATATTTTTTATATTCAATGAAGCAAGCTTTACTAATTATGGTCTTGTAAACTTGCATAATATGCATTACTGGTCGAATGAAAATCCACGAGTTAAAAAAAGCTGATCATCAACGACAGTGGTCGGTAAATGTATAGTGCGGTATCATAGGCGACAAATTAATCGGTCCATATTTCATCAACGGAACACTTAATACCATAAAATATGATAACTTTATACGCAACGATCTCGGAATTTTATTAGAAGATATACAATTGAACATTCGCCGAGTAATGTGATATCAACAGTATCAACACGATAGATGCCCCGTACATTATGAACGTAGAGTAGGAACTACTCAATGAAATCTTCCTAAATCGACAGATAGGACACAATCGACATAAAATTGCTCAACTTTTTTTTGATGGGGAACATAAAAAATATTGTATATCAGGAAATGCCGACCACATCGGGAAATATGAAGCAATGAATTATTGTAGCATATGCGACAATCACTCCGGAAATCTCTGAAGAGATTTCAAGGCCTCCACCTAGAAAAATTATTATCAGCATATATTATTACAGGGCCCTATTAATATCACACAATTTTTGTAATATTATCAATATTTTGATCATAAATATTTTCATCTCTAAAAATAGCAGAGATATTCAAGGACAAAATTATTGCTTCACCCCGTATAATATAATACAATAAATTAAAGAGCAAACGCTTATAACACTTATCTTCTTTCATCTCTAAGTCGTAGTTGATAGCTTTCTTAATTCTAGACATTATAATCTCTTTTTTACCTGCGTTTACATTGGCGTGGAGAATATCTGGTTCCTTGAGAAAGTCGTATTGCTTCACAGCAGAATACCAGTAAGATGCAACTTCCTGTCCCGTGATATCGCCAGGTACCGCACCACCAGGACGACAATAAAGATTGTGACCTACGTTCCGATCATTTTTATAATAGAACGTGTTCGTGTGCGCCAAATGATTTGCCCATGATTGAGCGTACTCGCACAACTGCAACACGTTGAGTAATAACGTATATAAGTATACATTAAATATAAGTTTAAGTTTATGACATGGCTTTTGACCGTTTTTATGCCTTTTATAGTTCTTGTTTTACTACCTGCGGTGACATAGTCAACGGAGGTGCGTTATGCCGTTGCCGATAAACGTTGTGCCAGCAAAGACACTCAGTGATAAATTCGCTGTCGCGCCAATCAGTTTCCAAGTCACTTCTATCATATGTGATACTCATCGGTCGGTTGCTTAGTATCTGCAAGAAAATCCCTTGTGATACATGCAAGGCAATCATTCCACCATCTACGATTTACACGATATGCTGCACGCGATATCATGCAACTCTATTCTTATGTTTCGATTTAAGACGCTTGCTTTCTTGAGTCTTCGAATATCGTCCTTATAGAAATTCAATATTAGACAATTTAATATATTGAAAGATAGTGATTAATTATCTATTTTAAACATTAAAAGCACTATTGTTCAGTGCTTATAATTAGTAATTAATCATTACCTTCTAGTATTAAATTTTTGTAAGAGTGGCGCCATGAATCTTAAGATTTTTTTAGTTATAAAATGTAGATTCTTAAACTCTCGCGAATTCCTGAATTCTCAGATTTGGATAAATTCTCGAAATCATATGTCCTTAAATTTTGGACTATGCGAATCATACAATTCTTAAATCTTGGAATCATCAAACTTGCAAATATTGAAATTTATAATTTTTTTCAAGTTTTTGTAGATTTCTTCCATATTGATATCTAAATTCTTAAATTTTAAACTATTACTGCATTCTGGATAAATTCTTAGATATCTACATCTTTTATCTTAATTTTTTTTAATTTAGATGCCACTGTGGTATTCAGTCTTCAGACTCGGAGCATTGCATCATCTCAGATCCCAATATGAAGGAAGCTTTAATTTGCGTGTGGAATTATTTCGTGCAAATGGTCAAACCAAAAATTCGTTAGAATGAAAGTCAATTGAAAGATTGTATAGGTATAGACCAATGTGTGTAATGGTGCAGTTTCCCAATTGTATTTATTATCCTGTACAACACAGTCATGCATAAGAGCTAAGACAACAGTGCGCCACTCCTGACTTTAAAATATCGACCCAAGTACTTTGCGCGCGTGCTCCTTTGCTCTTTTGATTTCGAAAACAGTCGCATATCGAGTAAGCCAAGGACACAATGGAAATTATATTCCGCGAACCTGAGACATATCCGGCGCATAACGTTAATCTTTGCCTGGATATACAAAAAACACGATCTCATAGTTAATATCAACTTCACATTTCGCAATTATTCTAAAAATGACAGAATAGTAGTTAGACATTGATAATGTAGCATGACAATTATCTTTTTAGAATTATATTCAATGTAATCCTGATCTTTCAGAGTTAATACAATTTGGAATCCAAGTCCCCAATTCATTAAATCATCTAGCAATTGAACGCGATTCTCGAGAGAAAAGAAATACGCTAAATAAAAAAGAAAAGAACGAAGAGACTAAATTTTACAATAGTTATTAGAGGTGGCTCAATAACATAAATAGGAAGAAGCATACAGCTATATACGCAAGATATTTTTTGCCAAAGTTATATATTTAAAATTAAAAATGTAAACATTTCAGCTAAGTCTTGGCTATCATCAGTACAATAAACTTTGGCAAAAAATATCTTGCGTATGTGACTGCATGCTCCTTCCTTCTATTTAAGAGACTAAATTATTAAATGAGTTTATCTAGAATCAAAATCATTTCACTTTAAACCGAATGAGACAGTATTTTTCTGAGCGTGTATCGCGAGATTTCCATCGTCTACCTTTTTCAGAAGTTTCGGTCGATTGTCCAATTGTTGTTGAGTTAGCTCGTAGTTTATCGAGGACGTGGTGGCTAGGCCTGGTAAATGACTATGATCAGTAATTCGATCCGTCTTGTATAACTTGCTCTGTTCTAGTCTCTTCCTAAGATTCTCCAAGGCCTTCGCCTCTTCGCGCTTTCTGGAGGGCGGCCAGTTCTCGCTCGAAGTATGGATCATGGTGATTCCAGCACATGGTGAATCCTGACAGAGATCAAATCAACAAATTTAAGACTTTTGTAGAAATACTGTTCATTTTAATTTACAATGTACGACTTGTTCAGGATATAAATATAAATCCATAAGTTACTAAGAAGAGAATCTCTTTTGATTTCCGAATGGAAAAAGAGAACAGTTTAAAAGATTTATTTATAAGGAATATATAAATTAACGACGAGAGAGAGGAGGGAGAGGGAGTGAGGGAGTGAGGGAGGGAGGGAGAGAGAGAGAGAGAGAGAGAGAGAGAGAAGCTACGCAAGTTGAATGAAATGTCTAATTTCCAAATGGTGTGTAATGACAAAGAATTAATGATATATCAAATAAATAAATGGATAAATATTAATAAATATTAATTTAATATAATTAAATAATAATGAAGATAATGACAAATTAATAATAATAAATATTCATAAATTAATTACAACTGTGAGAAATTTATAAATTAATGAATGTCGCGCGTATAAAGTTGCTTTGTTGCAAAACTCACACATATAGTATGTATATACATATACTTATTAATAAAACGGATTAAAAAACATCAAAGAGTATTTATGTAATTTTATGTAATATACAGCGTTGTGATGTGTAATCCAAAATGCTTTAAAATTGTTAAAACAAAAAATAATTGACATGCACAGATGTACACAGAATAAGATTTTTTATGTTTCTCCTAGGTCATCAAGTTGAAGAAAGAAAGATAAACAGAGAAATATGAGAGTATCTGAAACTCTGCTTTTCCAATGCAATATATTAATCTTAAGACAATGCAAATCTTGAGCGTCCCAGTGTCTCTCTTTCTGATTATTAACGATCATTTGTCAATGTCGAGATTCTCGTGCTCGTATCCGCCGAATTGATGCACGGGGCGATTTCTTGCGGAGAAGCTTCTTTGGGAAGCCGTTAAATGAAGGCTCTAGAATGGAGGAGAAATGTGGATAATTGCGATTCCAGGGAGACTCGTCCAGGGATGACCAACCTTGGAATGATTGCTGTTGGGAAAATTGAAGTCCAGGTGTGCGGCCTGGCTGAGCAACCGTCGGCTCGCGGGACACCGGTTACGATTGATCATCTCCTTCTGCATCGCATACTCGATGAAGTAGCTCTCGTATTCGGACGCGTTGTCGTGCTGCGGCAGGAGCTCGGCGATCTCCTCCGCAGTGCCGTACGCGCGGCTCATCTCGCGCAGCTCCATCGCACAACACCACAATCCACGCTCGTGCCGGATCAGGCGCATACTGACCAGATCGAACTTCAGCGCCTCAGCCAGCCGTGCAAAACCACGAGCGCGAATACCGCACAGTGCCGCTGTGCTGCAAACTGCTATGTGGACGTATGTGTGCGCACCAAGTTCATTGCGACCATTCGCCTCAATACTCACGCCTGCGAAGTCCCGTATGCAGTATGAGACATTGACATACAAATTGTTTATAATACCTATATGCTATTTACCTATATGCTATGAATCTTCCAGTTAATGAGATGCTAAAATTGGATTACATCTAAAATGAATTCATTTCAGATCTGAAGTAGTTGGCTAATGTTATGGTGCAAAATTAATATTAATTTTTCTTTGGAAAAGAATAATGAAATGGATATGTAACCGAATTCATTTTTTACCATTGATTAATAGCGCTGTAACTATAATTATTCTTTTTTCTTTTTAATGAGATTTGTAAATTACGTAATAAATAGTTACATGATAAAATAGTGACACTTGATATAAGTTGAAATACTTGTAATTTATATCTTCGATGCATTTTTTAAAATTCAATATCATCTATCCTTCTTCTCATAGTACAAAAATTTGTGCAGAGCACTGATCAATTTTAACAATACCTCATCAATAATTATCTACATCTACATATTTAAATAAGTAATTTTGACAATTATGAGATAAATAATATATATAATCTCAATCCACTTTTTGTAAATTATTTGTATGTTGCTAATGATTAATATGCTGAAAATGTGTTATTCCCCTCTTTTCTGCATACTTTTCAATTCTTTATTCAAATTAAATATGAAAATAAATAATTTAAAAAAATACTATGAAAAAAAAGAAAATCAGATAAAATGGTATAACTTTCAAAAGAAATAAATATCAAAAAATACTTTGGAAGTTGATAAAATGAAAATAAAACATTGTAGATTTTACTATCGTTCAGGATATATGGATTCAGCATAAATACATGATAAGAGAAATACTTTGTGAGTTTCATCATTATTTATTATACAGAAATCCATTAATCTTGGCTAGCATCTACATTCTCAGTTTGGAGTCCCTTGAATGACGAAACAGATATATATGTTACAAGAGTATACAACTTGTTTGCAGAATCCTCATCGTCGTTTCTCCTCCTGCTTAATCTTACACGAACTCTGAAGGGAACATTTCTGGAAAAAAAAAGAAGAAATAATATGATAT